CCATCTCAGCACAAGCACATATAAATTGTTATTAGACTTGTTATTACGAGTGTTTTGTTTTTCTGATAAGACTGGAAGTTCCTGAGATCCGAGGCCAGATCTTAGGTTTCTTTTTCTTCTTTGTTTCTTTCTTTTTAAACCAGCTATGGTCTCTGGCTTTTGATGATACTCAATAATTATTTACTGACTTGAACTAACTTTACTGTGCATAATTATTGAGACAAGGAGGCCAGTTTTGGGAGAGGCTAAAAGCTAAGTATATTCTGGGTAAATGTGAACTGCAAAATCTAACTGCTTAGGCAGGAAAAACCAAGGAAGCATTTCTAAGAGAGATAATAAGGAGGCAGAATAAAAGCCAAAACATCGTGAGACTCATGTTGACCCTCAGCAGAGAGGTGGGAACCAAATGAACAAATTAGAAAACTCGACTGGAAACAAGCATTTTTCTCCCAGTATCTTGATAGCAATTCTCCCTAAAGGGTCAAAAGAATACTATAGCAGAAAATGTGCACCCCAAGTTAGTAGCATTGTTGTGATTAATAACAAAATAATAATCATAATAATCTATCACAGACCAGAGTAGCAGCTATAAATAGAAATATATAAAAGTAAACCTAATATTGGGGGCTACAAATTTCTGGAGTTCCAACTTACTTGGGCTGATTAAAACTTGTGTGCCAGTTCCAAACTTGAGCTGCTGAAAGCCTGTGTTCACACTCTGACATAACTCTATACAAAATGGCACCCGAAGCTGGGCCACGGCCTGGGAATCCTATGTTCACACTCAAGTTTGTTAATAAGTATGCTCCTATGTCTGCGTGCATAAACAAAAGTGGTAGGAGACATACATTTTTACTATTTAGCTTCATTTCTAAGACCACTAGAAGATGACAAGAAATACATCAGAACCCAACAGGAGATTCTGCTTTGCATACAGTGAGTTATATAAAACACGTTATTAATATTCAGGTTGAAAGGTCATAATTACAGTTTCAGTTCTAGACAGGGCCCAGAGAGTTTTGTCTATTCACACCTATTGTTTGTTACATGTTTCTTGCAGGAATGTTCATGGACACTGTATAATGTGACATTATTAATACCATCATTTCTTCTTACTTAAATAGCAAAGCCATGTCCCCACAACCCACACACACACACAAAAATAAATAAAAAAGAAAAAAGAAAATCAAAATGAATGTTCCTTAACTATAACATAAGTCAGGTTATTTTATAGGACTTACTTGCACCAACTAATAGTCTTGTTCCTGTCCCAAAGATAAATTTGTAGCCTCCAGTATTTCCCACAGTGATTTGTCCTGTGTCAAAATGGGCCATTTCTTTCACCTTCCATTTGTATAACATGTCTGGGGAGCAGGTCCAGGAAGCCCATAGTAAGGTTTGAGTGATAAGAGCTAATAAGAACACATTTTTACACTCCTAGTGAAACCCATGAACAGGTCTTACACCTACCTACTTACACCATTGAACAGTAGTTACAGAATACAGCCCCAGTACCAGACTTCCCAGGTTCTAGTCCCAGCCCTAGTTCTCCTTGACTTTATAATTTTGGGCAATTCAATCAACCCCTCTGGGTCTTAATTTCCATATTGGGAAAATAAAGAGTGCTGAATTTAGATGAATCTTAAGCTCTTCTCAGAGCTGAAGTTCTCTGATGCAGCAGTGTCCCAAGTGTCCCCACATTGTGTTTTTCTGTAACTCACTAGTGGGTCAGGTACTTGCAGTCTGTTACATTGATGGCTGGTCTGCCTGGGGAATGTACAAGGAACCTCAGGAGAAAGGGACAGTCAGGACATGGGAGTGACTGCCATCATTTCCTCTCCTCTCCCATCTGGGTAAATGTTCCCAGCAGCTCTATCTGTCATTCAGAGGGGAAGAGAATCCTTCAGACATCTGAAGCATCCACATAAAAATTTCCTAAAATTCCATCTTTACCTCATGGCACTATCTAAGAAAGGAAAAGATAAATTCTATGTCCTTACTCACTGTGACTGGCATTCTCTCTCATTTCTTTTTTCTTTTTTTGATACTGGGGATTAAACCCAGGAGGGCTTATCCACTGAGCCACATCCCCAGCCATTTTTATTTTTTATTTTGAGACAGGGTCTCACTAAGTTGCTTATTAGGGCCTTGCTAAATTGCTGAGGTTGGTTTTGAATTTGTTATCCTCCTGCCTCAGCCTCCCAAGCTGCTGGGATTACAGGTATGTGCCATTGCACCTGGCTCGGCTCATCTCTCATTTCTAGATAAACCCTGGCAAAGAGCTTGTGTCATCCTATAATAGAAAATAAGGGGCTTTGAGATCATACAGATAGACCCAGGTTTGAATTTAGCCCTTTCTACCTGATAGAATCTTGGACAATAACTTCTCTGAGCCACCTCAGTTTCTGCTTCTGTAAAATAAGATATTGCTCCTTATCTTAGAGTTGTTTGAAGAGAAATAATACTGTATGTCATGCATCTAGCCTCATAGCCACATGCCATACACACAGTTTTGAGTGTTTCAACCTCTTCTACTGGAGTCTGAGGTGCATAGAGGGGAATGACTTGTTCAATATCACAAAGTCAGTTGGGGCCAAATGCCTGTGGTGAAGTCCTGAGGTTCTGTTTCTGCACTTCACTGTCTCTTCTTGGACAATGTTTAGTGAAGGGGATGCTTTGTCTCCGGAGTGAATATGGTCTGGCTTATTTAGGGCATGGATAAAAAGACTTTGGGTCTTCTCCCTGAGTGTTCCTTGGAATCTGTGGCAGTGGAAGTAGAAAGGGTCTATTAGATGGTGGCCATGCAATTTTCTGCTCTCCTAGTTTCTTTCCTCTATCGGACTCCATGTAGCTCAATACTAGTGTTAAAAACTCTGATGTGAGACAGAGCTTCTGTCAGCCTCAATTCTCAAATGGTTGCTAAATTTTGCTAAATTCTACCCCAAAGGAAATATGCCCTACAGTCATCGAAGCCTTTCACTAATTTATCTTGGGGTCACCATTCTTAATGCTTCTGCACTAGATTACAGCTAATTAAAAATAAGACATAAGGACAAAGGTGACATATCCTGTTCTCCTGTTTACCATTAGTAGAACACATTTTGTAGTTATTTTGGAATTTCATACTTACACAGTTCCACTTTTAGCTGGGTGCCTGTCCCAAAGGTGAGTTTGTTTACTCCTCCCGTGAATCCCACAGTGTTGGATGCCTCACAATAAACTCCCTTCTGCCACCGCACCCCTTCTGCTGGTTTACCCTAACCAATTAGAAAATACTCAAGACTCAGTCAAAAAGAAAAGAAAAGAAAAGAAAAGGAAAGACTCAAGATTTAACATAGCTGAGTACAGTGGCATACACCTGTAATCCCAGTGACTTGGGAGGCTGAGGCAGGAGGATCGTAAGTTCAGACAGCCTCAGCAATTTAGTGAGGCCCTAAGCAACTTAGCAAGGCCCTGTCTCTAAAAATATAGAAAATAGGGATAGGGATGTGGCTCAGTTGTTAAGCACCCCTGGGTTCAATCTCCAGTACCAAAATAAAATAAAATAAAATAAAATAAAATAAAATGAAAGATTTAGCATAGCTATTTGACTTATTTATATGAGAAAAAGCCCCCTTCTAGCACAAATGGGGATAAATTTATAGACTGTTGGTGCTGTGGGACCAGAGGTCATTCAAGCCCACTTCCCCTTTAATAGATAAGAAATATGAGACTCAGAGGCAAGAGATATGCTCTAAATGACATTGCTGGTTGGTAGCAAAGACTAAAATATAGAGCTATTTGATTCTCAATCTAGTGTTTTACTCTTTTCACCACAGGCTTGAATGTCCTGTGTCATTTACTTTATTCTCTTCTTCCCTTTGGTCTAGAAACTTGATTTCTTTGGCTGCTTTATTTGAATTAAACAAGCGTTTATCAAGCACCTTACTTTGTAAAAGGACCATATGAGATACTTCCTGGGACATAAAAGAGTTTTTGCTCTCAAAGATCTTTTGCTTTTAATAGCTGAATATCCTTAAGAAGTAAGAGATTTCTGGAGCTGTCTACGTTGCAGATGGTCTAAGGTTGCACAGCTAAATTTGGGATACAGAGGGTAAGAGGAATGTGAAGGATGCCTGGCGGGGAAACCACAGACTGGGCTTTCCACAGGAAGTTGGGCTATTTCTGGAGAAACTATGTTTGTCCTAATCATTTAGGATGTTAGACTGCCCTCCATTGCAATCTAGTGAATTAGTTCTATGGTGATTTTCAACTCTTCTGTTATTTTCCTGTTTAAATGGAGAGCCCATGGAAGCTCACCCTCAAGTTCATAGGTCTCAACTGACAAAACAAGGACGACACAATCCATGAGGATAACACACAGGAAGTACATGGAGGAGCCTTCAACCAGACAAGGGGGAAACAAGCACGGAGCCGGGCCAGCGTTTACCTGGAAAGACTAGAAGCGCAGTCCCCTTTCCAAAAGTGAGTGTGTTGAATCCCGATGACATACTATAGCAAACCCCCACACAAAAACAGCCCACAGTGCTGGGGTTTTCAACCTGTGAACTATTTAGGGAAGGGGGAAGAAAATCCATCATTTAGGGAGAACCTACGATGTGCTAAGCAGGTTGATAATTTACACAGAAGACATTATCTCATTTGGGCCACAACTGGGCCATGAGCTTAGATCTTATTATTCTCATTTTATAAGTTAGGAACAGGTGTCCTGAGGCTAAGCGGGCTGGGCCAGCACCAAGAACAAAGCACGAATATCCATTATCCTCAAAACATTTTAGCAGAGGACACATAAGGAGCCACAAGAGACAGTCCTGCTCCTTGTTCTCTCTTCAGTGGGACTGCAGTTGTCTTGGGGTTGGTTCTTTTCTAGAACCAGACACCAGAACTGTAGTAACAGGGACCCAAGCACAACGGCTCATCCTTCATCACAGGACCAGTTCTTGAGGCCTGAGGACATTTTACCCTCAGTCTTTCTGTTATTCCTCAGGTGCTCTACTCACCAGGCATGACCAGCAGTCTGGTCCCACTCCCGAAGGTCCATCTAGCACCTCCATCTTGCCCACAGTGTTTCTACCCCAGGCAAAAACACTCACAAGCCCACATATCCTTCTCATCCTGAGACCTGCAGATGTGCCCCTCTCACCTACAAAGGGGGCTGTGTCTTAACTTTCTTTTTACATTCCACAGAACGCAGGGACCATTTGACTCAAATTTGGCGCATTTATTGCTTAACACTTAAAATGAAGTCTCTACCTACCCACACCTCATGGTCCATCACCATCACACTCATGATTTTCAACTCTATTTATCTAACGGATGTATCTGGCCTTTTTTTCATTTCCATGACAGTTATCAATTTTTAGATTCTTGCTATATTGTCTCCCCTGATTTTACCTTCAATCAATCTGAAACTTGACGGACAAGTGTCCAGATCATTCTGAGAGGCAGCTTCCTGCTCCCTCAGTCAACTTGTTTGGTGAAACCAGCGACTCAATGGTAGCCTGATTACTTACTCAAGTTCTGTTCTGTCCTCAAAGCTGAATGACCCTCTGATTACATCACACTCATTCTGCTTCTAATTTAGTGGAAAACACCACTTCTTTTCTCTTTAGTTCTTATGCTTCATAAATCTACTGTTTTCCATTGCAGGCAATGTCGTAGCTTTCTTTTCTATTAAAAAGAAACACAGCTTGGATGGAACAATACTACTAGAATGTAAAGGGATGAATGAGGGTTCCTTACACAGTCTCTTTATTAAATATTCTGAAAAATGACCCAGGAAAGGAAAGGCCTCTTACATTCCATTATGCTCCAAATGTCATTATCTGAGTGAAGAAAACACAGGGCGGAAGAAATGCTTAGGAAATTAGACTCACTTGTGGTGACTTGGAGCTTTGTCCCAGTTCCAAAGGTGAGTTTCTGGTAACCAGAATTCACACTGTAATGCAGGCCTTTACAAAATGGCTTCCTTTCCCTGGCCATTTTCATTGGGTGGCCTTCAAGTCACTCTCCATCCGTGGAAGACAGAGTGCTTTCTACCAATGCCCATGGCTGCAGATTCACAGGAAAACAGCCATTTTTCTAAGAACTCACACTGTCTCTTCATTTTAAAAGAATTTTACTATTCAACCCAGCATTTTTTGTTTTATAGACAGATAATATTTTACATATGTATACCCCTTAAGAATTTTCAAATAATTTTCATATACATTAACCTATTTTACCTTAAAATGATTTATGAGGTATTATTAAATACTCTCCCTTTGCACATAAAGAAACTATGGCCCCAGTTCACTGATCAAGCTAGGGTGAGCAGAACTGGAAGGGGTCAACCAAACTTTCTGCCTTTTTCTTTAGGATCAACTCTCTGGATTTTTTCCGTGTATTATTTTTGGTTCATCTACATGACTTTTTCTTTTTAGTTTTTCTCCACAGCTAGCTCTTTTTATCCTCTGCACCATTATTTAAATGTTTCTTTCTGTATGGAAATACACTTAAGTCTGCACAAACCATTAATTTTTTGACACTTGGGCCTTACAAATACTTTAGTAAGTTCAGTGGGCCTCAGTAGTCACATTAAGCCTCTTACTTTAGTGACATATTGCATACTTACTAGGTTTTACTGATAATCTTTTCCCACTCCCAACGATGAATGTGTTATAAATCATAGCCCTGTGCTGCCTGACGAAAATGCCCGAGCTACCTTGATAATAGACTAATGTGATTAGCATGTATCTGTCCTCCCTCGTGGGAGTTCTGGCTGGGATTCCCCTTTTTGATTTCTGGAATAAAGGCTAAGCCATGGAATTAAGCCCATGAAAGCCTCTTTTCAGGGCACAAGAGCAGTGGTACAATAGATGTGGCAGAAAGCCTGAGAAGAGTCCAAGTGATATTCTCTAGACAACTCTGAAACTTATTCCTTTCAAAAAGATTTGCAAAACGTCACAAGTAATCTTGTTTCACTAGCCAAAGGATATCAGGTCTGATCCCCACTTTATTTTACCTAGGAATCCACACTGTACATAATCTCATTTTACTGGTGTTAAGCAAACTGCTCCTATCCCTTTAGGTAATCTTTCCTTATCACTTTATTTAAAACATTTTTGTGAGCATATAGTGGGACATGGGAGATGGTTGGAGTATTGGGATGGGAGACAGCACCTCTTTTTAAAAATTTTGTTTTAATGGCTTTCCTTATTAAAACACAATAGTCCTTGACTTAAAGGATAAGGAGACATTAAGTCACCCATGCAATATAAGATACAGGGTAAGTACAGGCATTATGATCAATAGTTACCAGTTACTTACTGGGTCTCACTAATAAGGTGGTTCCCTTTCCAAAGGTCCATGTACTTCCTCCTTGATAGGCACAGTGAAATAAGGCCCTGCAAATACTTCACGTGCCTGCTCACTCAAACCCTCTTTGTATACAGCTATAAACAATGGAAATTCATATTTCGCCCTTGCATTTTGGCCAGGAGCTCAATGAGTTTTCAGCATTTGCACAAATGCTCTATAATTTGATTTCAATGGTGCTTGGTCTTTTATTCACTTAGTAACTATTTACTTAACACTGTAGGAGGCACTGAGGAGACAGTGAGGGCCACTCACTGTCCCTGTCCTCATGGCTCACAGTATAGGAGGACGAAAATAATAGACAAATACATAGCTAATAAGATGTCAAATGACAAAAGTGTGTGAATTTAAATTAAGCTGGATAACAGGATAGAGGGAAAACAGGCAGTGGCAGCTGTGTTTGATGGCTCATTGGATTGGCTGGGCAGGAGGCCCTCTCTAAGGAGGTGATGTCTGAAGTGAAGTCCAGACATGGAGGAGTTAGTCATCACCCTCATTTCCAGATAAGCAAATTGAGGTCTGAAAGATCAAAGCCTGGCTCCAAATCACACAGTGTCTCAACCACAGACACTTAGATCATGCCTCTCCTAGCTCAGAACTAGAGGTAAATATAACCATGTAAATTCTTCTTAGATAAGATAATGACAGGCAGATATTCTTCCAAAGTGATTTTGGGATGTTATCAGGGCAACTGGAAGATGTGGCTTTGGCCATGGAGGGCACTGAGGTTGTATGAAGAGGCCAAATAGAAGAGAAGGTACTCTCTGATGGAGCTGGCCACTGAGCTAAGGAGGTATCTTCCACTCTGCTTCCCTATTAAGCCTGAAGATAAGGCACACTTACCTGGCAGAATACGCTCTTCTAATTAAATTGGGGAGTCTCTGCTCCCCATTAAATCTGGACAAATGGAGGGCATTTGGCAATTCACTTAGATATCCAAAAAAAAGGTTGCTACTTGCCTCAATAACTAATTAAATTCAGAATTCATGGCAATACTCACTAAGATTCACCTTTAAGATGGTCCCCCTTCCAAAAACCAGTTTCTGGGTGCTCATGGATGCCACAGTGATTTGTATCACCACAAAAAAACCAAAGTGTCCCTTATTTTCAAGTACAAGAATTCTCTTAAGGTTGTTTGGCTTGGTCGAGATTTAACCCAAAGCTAAGCATATACTGAGGAAAACTCAAGAAAAAAATTCACCTACTCTTTGCGAAGGTAGGAAACCTGAGGAAGGAATCATTTTCTGCACTTTCCCAACTTTACACATTTCTCTCCTAAGTGATCTCGGGTTTCCAAAGATCTCCAGGGATTCTCTTGGTTACCAGTGCTCATGTTATTTTTTTTCTCATAACTAGAGAATCCATCTCATTTCCACATTGAACCCATTCTCTGCCATAGCCTAAGTCCATTAAACTTGTTCACCTTTAAGCTTATTCCCTTAGATTTCTCAAAATCTAACTCTTAAAAATCATGAGTCTCACTACCCACACCTGTCAAGGAGATTCCACATACTCTATCTCATGTGAGTCTCAGAATCTCTTTTCACAGGGCTGAAATCATAATCTCTGTGTTATAGACGAGGCTTGGAGAACTTGAGAGATCTTCTCATGGCAAACCAGTGAGGGACTGAGCTGGGTCTGCACTGTCTTTGGCTCCTGGTTGAATATCTTAATAATTAATTTTGTGCACATTCATGTAATGATCTCATCAGCTTGCCTTTCAAGTATCTCTCCTTTCTTCTTCCCTCCCCAATAGAGGTAACATTCTAATAATAATAAAAAACTCTCTTCCCATCTCCAAACAACAACAACAACAACAACAACCACCACCACCACCACCATGACAACAAAATCAAAACCCAAAACCCTCTAGCTCAATTCCTTTTCAGAGCAGTGTCTTTTTAGTCCTCACACATTTTCTGTGAGCCAGGAGATAAGGGTTACCAATATTTCAGTTACATTAATTGGGAAAAATGAGAGCAGGAGGAAATAGATCAGAACGATGGTTATAGAGGCTGCAGCGTGGTACAGACAGCAATATATTGAACGTTAGAAAACGTGAGTCCTTTCTCTGCTATTGTGACCATGTTCAAATCACTTACATTCTTTGAAGAGGAAAGAATTACCCTTTTCTACCTTCCTTTGCCCCTTTGGAAAATCAGATAAGTGATGTGAAGAAATAAGTCAAGTACCTTTATTTTTTTTTCCTTCTCTTTAGAAAATAGACCTTAGGAAACACCAAAATAGCAACATCCTTTATCCATATGGAATTCACAGTGCAAGCATATATATATGATTATGCAGAAGAGCAACACTAAACATTTAAGGTAAGTTTAAGATGGATTTGGGCCGACATACCGCACTCAACTTAAAATTGATGACAAGGTTTCTGTTTCAATGTTGAAAATAGAATTGGGGTTCAAGCCCCAGTACTCACTTGGCTTAACTAGCACCCTGGTTCCTCCTCCAAAAGTTAGCTTGTTTCCTGCAGTGTTGGTTACACAGTGATCTGAGGCCCAGCAAAAACATAGTGACTAGGGGAACTAAAATCCTTGGTAGATACTTGACATTCTCTACAGCCTTGAAAAAGTGGAGGGGTTACACTGCCCAGGGCAGGCCTGTTGCCCAGCACTGGATCTGATTTATAGAGCTGAAATACTTGCAAG